GTGAAAGTCTCTACCTTTTGTTTTTGGAACATGTGGATCTTTTACACATTGTCCCTAATTTGCACATTGTTGGGGCAGCATAACATCCAAACTGACAGGTAATCCGACTTATTGGCTAAGCCACACCAGATACTGTTTTGTCCCTAAACTGTTTCTTTTCTTCCTTGTTCTTTAATTTCCTGGGAATGTAGAAGAAACCTCACTACCTGTTTCTCAGTGCCTGAAAGAACAAAGTATTTTTGGAAAACTATCTTTTTAAAAATTTGTTTTTGTTCTTTCTTTATGTTTAATTCTCTTCCAAGATAGTGCCCAAATAATTGTAGAAGAGATTTGAAATTTTTGCATGTTGCACATGTTCAAAGGTGGGAAGTATTCTAAAAGTGTGGTAAAAGAGAACACTTTCAGCTGTTCATAAAGGCAATGGTGAACTATTCCATTAGAACCTACTTTGAGAAATGTGGCAGGGCTTAGCAACCTTGTAAATGATAGGTTTGGATCCATTATGAAGATGAATAGTAGAAATCCTTACCCTTGTATTATACTTCCATGAATGTCAGTTTTAAAAGAGGGTAAATGGGCCGGGTTCGGTGGCTCATGCCTGTAATCCCAGCACTTTGGAAAGCCAAGGTGGGTGGATCACCTGAGGTCAGGAGTTCAAGACCAGCCTGGCCAACATGGCGAAACTCCGTCTCTACTAAAAATACAAAAATTATCTGGGCGTGGTGCACACCTGTAGTCCCAGCTACCCAGGAGACTGAGGCAGGAGAATCGCTTGAACCCAGGAGGTGGAGGTTGCAGTGAGCTGAAATCGTGCCACTGCACTGCAGCCTGGGCAACAGAGTAAGTCTCTGGCTCTAAATCCATCCATCCGTCCATCCGCCCAACCAGAAAGACTCAAACTTGAACCGGACAGATCATCACATTTTCTTTCTTTACACTTTAGAAGTTCATCTGGACCCCTACCGAACATGGTGTCCTGTTGCAGACTGTCAGACAGTGTGCCCCGTTGCATCGAGTGACCCAGGACAGCCTGTGCTGGTGGAATGCCCTTCTTGCCACCTGAAATTCTGCTCGTGTTGCAAGGATGCTTGGCATGCAGAGGTCTCCTGTAGAGACAGTCAGCCTGTTGTCCTGCCAACAGAGCACGGGTAAGAAAGGAAACTTTGTCTTTGGAATTATTCGGTAGTTTTCTTAGAAACTCAACATACATTATGTGTAGAAAGAGTTACGTTGTGCTGGCCTTTAGAGATTGGTTATTTTCTTGCAGAACCTCCCTGAGAAGTGTCTCAGAATTGGTAAGTTGCTAAACAAAACAAAACAAAACACCAAAAAAGTATTTCTAGTTATTTGCCCCAGAGGAATGTTCCAGATATTGCTGGAATTAAAGTTTGTATGAGTTTTGCTTTCTCTTTAGGTAGTGAGGCACTGTGGTCTGCTGATTCTCAGTAGGAAACCATGACTTGTCCCAGCTATTTGCTCAGATACCGTATCTGGCTGTATTGGTATATCTCATTCTTCTTGCTTGCAAAATGAGTCAGAAATTTTCTTACCTGACTAAATTGTTAGCTCATGATGCATGACAGTCATATCAGAAAGAATGCAGCAATAGAAACAATGGCCCTAAATTATTTCATAACATAGAAAGGAGGGTTCTCCCATGATACTTGATGCTCTGAAAAGGTTGAGATTTTGTTACGACAGGAAGCAATTAGATCTGTACCTTTTTAGTACAGGTTTTTTTTTTTCTTTTTTTCTTTGAGACAGAGTCTTGCTCTGTTGCCTAGGCTGGAGTGCAGTGGCGCGGTATCAGCTCACTGCAACCACCGCCTGCTGGGTTCAAGTGATTCTCCTGCCTCAGCCTCCCAGTTAGCCGGGATTACAGGTGCATGCCACCACGCCCAGCTAATTTTTGTATTTTTAGTAGAGATGGGGTTTCACCATATTGGCCAGGCTGGTCTTGAACTCCTGACCTCAAGGGATCCACCCACCTCAGCCTCCCAAAGTGCTAGGATTACAGTTGTGAGGCACTGAACTTGGCCTATATGGAGGGATTTTATGGCAGCAGCAGGGCCCAGAGTGGGAGACTTCTGTGTTTTATTCCTGCTTTGCTTGGGGCTATGGTTGTTCTACATCAGCAAGAACAAAATACCAGTGTTGTGATTCCATTGGCTTAATCACAAAGTACACCCAGAGTGTGTAGAACCAGGCATTAGGAATAGTAATGCTACCTGGCTGCAATACTGTGTTTGAATCTCAGAACAAACAGTTGGAGAGGAAAAAAGATCTAATACTTGGGGGCAGGCATGTGCCCTCTTAGCCAGATTTAAACCAGCATTGCCTACGTTTTCATGACCATAGCAGGAAGCTCTGTGGGTATCACGGGGCAATGCAAAGAACTCAGAGGGTAGGAGGATTTTCATTCTGACATTGTCACTTGGTATCTGTGTGTCTCATGGAAGTCACTCAGCCTCTGTGAGTCTGTTTCTTTATCTGAAAATAAGGGAATTAAGATACAAGTTGAGCATCCTTTATCCAAAATGCTTGGGATAAGAAGTGTTTCAGATTGCAGTTTTTTTCAGAGTTCAAAATGTTTTCCTTATATATTTTGCTGGTTAAGCATCCGTAATCTGAATATCAGAAGTTAGGAAGGCTTCAGTGAGCATTTCCTTTGTCATGTCGGCACTCAAACAGTTTTAGACTTTGGAGCATTTTGAACTTCAAATTCTTGGACAAGGGATGCTCAACCTGTAATTGTCTCCTGACAGTATGAGGTTATTGTTCATACTGAATCTGATGATAGATTTGATAACACTCTGTGAGTTGAGTATCTCTCAACTGGTGTGCTGGGTGGTGGTGTTTTGTTGTTGTTGTTGTTGAGATAGTCTCACACTGTTCCCAGGCTGGAGTGCAGTGACACATTCTCCGCTCACTGCAACCTCCAACTCCCTGGTTCAAGTGATTCTCCTGCCTCAGCCTCCCGAGCAGCTGGGACTACAGACACACACCACCATGACCAGCTAATTTTTGTATTTTTAGTAGAGACAAGGTTTCACCATGTTGGCCAGGATGATCTCGATCTCCTGACCTGATGATCTGCTTGCCTTGGCCTCTCAAAGTGGTGGGATTACAAGCGTGAACCACCACGCCTGGCCGGGTGGTGGTTTTGCTGGGGAGTAGCTAAAGTGTTACCTGGTGCTATGACTCACCTATCCGTCTTTCCCACTCTAATTCTTGTTGCTTATTTTCTGTGCCCCTTGAGGCTGTGAGCCTGTATTGGTCTATGCGTCTGTTTGGAGAAGGTCTTTTGAAAGTATTGGACATTATTTTACAGTGTTGATAATTGAGACCCCCCTTCTCCATTTGTCTAGTGAACCGACCATTAGATAGATTATATATGCCCAGTTTGGACCCCGACCTACTTTCTCTGCTGTGTGACTGACTCCTTGCAGTTCTTATTTTGGCAATGTGTGCTTAGGGAACGAAGTATTAATTTGGTAAAATAGTGAAATCAGTGGTGGAAACTGTAATTATATAATTCACTGAAAGCCAAAATAAATAAAGATTCCTTCTTGCATGAGTTATCTGTAAATCTAATAAGAAGAATGTTTTTGGCCACACCCTATCTTTTGGAAGTGAATCAAGTGTGGATAACTATGAGTTCATTATCTAACCATCAGGAGCCCTGGGAATTCAATTGATGACCATCGGCTGAATGCCATTTCTCATCGATTTGTTTCTAGAGCCCTCTTTGGGACAGATGCAGAAGCTCCCATTAAGCAATGCCCAGTTTGCCGGGTTTATATCGAACGCAATGAAGGCTGTGCTCAGATGATGTGCAAAAACTGTAAGCACACGTTTTGCTGGTACTGTCTCCAGAACTTGGACGTAAGTTCCACTTGGGTTTATTGTACGGTTTTTCCTATACTGTATCATACCACAGCTGAAATCCTACAGATTTTCCTTTTAAAATATTGAGGCGATTTTTGTCCTGCAAATGGAATTTATTTTTCTTAATGAGACTTCCTAAGCCTGCTACTTTAGATATCTAAAAACAGCTTTTTGATTATCTTACATATGTCACCTTGGTTTTGAAGGCAGGTTTTTGTTTTAGGGGCATTTCTTACTATTTGGACATTGTCTCACTCTATTATGTAAAGGACTAGTAGTGTCTTCATTTTATATTGCTGTTGTAATGAATTAGCACAGGCTTAGTGGCTTAAAATACCACTAACTTATATAGTTCTGCACTTTGGAAGTCTGACATAGGTCTTGGTGGGTTAAAATGAAGGTGTCAGCAGGGCTGCCTTTCTTTCTGGAGGCTCTGGTGGAGAATCTGCTTTCTTGCCTTAGAGGCTGTCTTCTTTTCTTGGCTTGTGGCTTCTTCCTCCGTCTTCAATGCCAGCAACATCACATCTCTCTTTCCCTTCTTAGTCATTGCTCCCTCTGACCACAGCTGGGAAAGGTTCTCTACCTTAAGGACCAGTGTGAGGAGACTGGGCCCATCAGGATAATGTAGGATAATCTTCTCTATCTCAGGATTTAATTTAATCAACCTTGCAGAATCCTTTTTGCCATATAGGGTAACACATTCACAGATTCTGGGGGATTAGGCCATGATATCTTTGGGAGGCAGTTATTCCGCCTACCACTATTAGGTTTTCTTTTCTTTTTGAATTTAAAGAAAAATGGTTCACGCTCTCTTGCTCTTTTTCTTTCTTGCTTGTGCTCTCTCTCTCTCTCTCCATCTCTCTGTCTCTCTGTCTCTCTCCTTCTCTCTCTCTCCTTCTCTGTCTCTCTCTCCCTGTCTCTCTCTCTCTCTCTCTCTCTCTCTCTCTCTCTCTTTCTCTCTCTGTTGTGGGCATGCAGTAGTATTGCTACTGTTTTGTCAGTGTTCCCTTCCCAGATCAAGGGGCGTGGCTTAATTATTTTTTCTCACCATCCATGAATCAAGTCATTTTCTTTTTCTGTACTTTAGGTTCTGGGGTACATGTGCAGATCATGCAGGATTAAGTTTGGGGTAGCATAAGTTGTTTATAGATAACACCCTGTTTTGACAATTTGAACCTCTAAAATATGTCCATATCAGTGTAAGCCCTCAGTCACCACTGAATTGCCATTCTTTTCTCAGCTCTTTGTTTTGGTTGCTTGATTTGCTTTAATTCAGCAAGCAATTTGTGTAGTGCTTTAGTTCAGACATACTTAGCGAGTGAGTGTGCAGTTAGCATGTGATGTCTGCTGGCCACCACCTGCTGGATTTTTAACTGAAAACTAGGCATGTTGTTTAAGATGACATATATGAATAAAAATAATAACCTCCATCTTAGTGATTTAAGAAGAGGTATAAACTGGGGAGAAGAAAATGGACATTTCAGACTCGAGAAGTTCAGCAGCTCAGGTTGGAATAAATATTTTCCATTGAAAAAATTGATTTATCCTAGACCTTTGAATTACAATTATGTTTGATATTTAAGCCCTAGCATGCATCTAAATGAGTGATATTCTGGATGAGAATTTTAGATTGCACATTACACATGCATTACAAATGAAAAACAATTTTTTTTCCTTCAGGTTTTACCAGAATATTAATTGGGTTCATCTGTACAAGGAGGCTGAGCCCATGAGGCTCTCTAGGATGCCCAAGTGTAAAGGACTAAATGTGTTTAACAGCTCTCCATCCTTTGGTTGAAATGTGTTTGGAGAGTGGTGTTGCAAAGAACATGCGGTTCTGTCACTTGTGCTGCTCTGGTTCTGGAGATGAAATGGTGCAGATGTTAAATGGCCGGATACACAGACTTCAAACATTGAAGCATCTTTTTTTCTGGTGACTGTTTTTTAAGATCTCACTTTCAGTTTTAGCCAGGGGCGCTGGATTGTTGGTAATGACATTTTTCTCTAGGTAAATGGAGTTCCACATCAGATGGTGGTGTGGCTTTCTGTTGATAGGAAAGTTTGAGAGCATGGGGGCAGGAGAGGGTGACTCTCTAAAATCCAGGCCTGAGACTGACACCAAACAGGAATTTTGAGTGTTGCTGGAGATGAGCTCGTTCCTGTCTTGATTCTCATGCCTGTAGTTTCAGAGGATGAGTTATGCTTAATTGTCTGCTTTAGAATCCTATTTCTGTCCATAGCCTTAGAGACTTGAGCCCATTCAGTTATCTCTTCCCTTTCCTGTGGTTTCAGTCTCCACTCTTTCAACATATCCATGCATTCAACTGTTTCACATTTAAACATGAGTAAACATTTTTCTTAAAGCACGCATCTTTTCCTTACTACCCCTCTATTTATCTTTCCTTTAGAAGCCAAGCTTCAAAAAAGCCTAATTACCTCTTGCTGCTACTCACATCACTTACCTTCCAAACACTTCAATGTGCTCGGATTGCCACATAGTCTCACCCTGACTGTACCCCTTTCCCAGATTTTGTGTGATTTCTTACTGGCAGAATCCAAGGAATACTTGTCCTTAGCTTACCTAGATCCTCTGCTGATCCATTTCAGTGGTACCACCTCTGTTGATTTCTGTTCTCCTTTTCTGACCATGTCTCATTTCCTCTTCCAGCCTCTTCCTCAACCCATTCTTAAATGCTTGTGTTCAGCAGTCTCTTTGCTTCTCAGTTTACCCCTCTTCCTGATTAATTCAGTCTCTTCTGTGGGTTCCTTCCACCCTACCTACACTGATGCCTGATTGAAACCCCTTTCTCCATTCATCTAATGAACAGACCATTAGATTATCTACACCTAGTTTGGACCTTGAGCTAGTTTCTCTGCTGAGGCCCAAGTCTTTTTTTATCAGTCTAGACCTATGTGATGAGCTGCCCTTTGAACAGCCCTGCTTGGATGTCTCTACCATCTCTCAAGTTCAACATGTCCAAACTTATCTTCCCAACAAACTCCATCTCTGTTTTGTCGTTTCTCTCGATAAAGCCACTGCCTTCTTTCAACCCAACTGGTTTCCCTCATCTGCGATTTCTTCTCCTTGTCTCTCTGTCTAGTTAGTTAGTTTTCTAATATCTTAGGACTGTAACTTCCTCTTCATCCATGCTCAGTCACTGGCATTTTCTCTCTCCTGGTTTGCCACACCAGCCTTTCAGCTGCCTTGCTCCTGGCCTTCCCATTCCATTGTACCTCTGCCAGGGCTACCTTGCTAAGATTAGTAAGGTCATTGCTATTCTTTTTTCTTCTTTTTAAATAATTAATTGAGATTCTTATTGTTTATGATTTGTTTTCACATGGTGATTTACGAAACTACCAAGATAAAGAGTTCGGGCTTGGAATTCCTAGAGGGAGTCACTAATATCACCAGAGAAAAATTTTGGCTTCCATTTGGTGATCCGATGTGGTTTGTATTCATTTCTCAATGTAAAACTGCATATTTACTGAAACTAATCTTTTTATTTTTCAGAATGACATTTTCCTCAGACATTATGACAAAGGGCCTTGCAGAAATAAACTAGGCCACTCGAGAGCATCAGTGATGTGGAACCGAACACAGGTACCCTGATCTTACAGAGAGCGTGACATAAGGCAAAATTGTGTTGGCTTAAAGAGCCCACCTCTTCATCTTCCCAGCACTATTCCCTCCTGAGAGGTCCCATCTCAGCCTGGGAGGTTCTGGGGAGTTCTAGGACTGGGCTAGGGAAAAGCAATGTGGTAATCACCTGAAGTTAATTCATGAGCACAGTCTCCTTGAGACTGTGGAGGAGCAGGGGCACCAGAGCTGCCAGGAAATCAACAGCGACATGCAGAATGCAGGCAGATGTTCTTTCCTCCTGAGAAACAGTGGAATGACTTTTCTAAAGCCCTTTAAGCCACATTACCTATCAAAGGCAATGTATTAGTCTGCTCTCACACTGCTAATAAAGACATACCCAAGACTAGGTAATTGATAAAGGAAAGAGGTTTAATGGACTCACAATTGCACATGGCTGTAAGGCCTCTCAATCATGGTGGAAGGCAAAGGAGGAGGTTTCAGTAAATATGCACGTCTTACATGGTGGCAGGCAAGGGAACTCCCTGTGCAGGGGAACTCCCATTTATAAAACCATCAGATCCCATGAGACTTATTCACTACCACAAGAACAGTATAGGGTAAACCTCCCTCATGATTCAGTTATTTCCACCTGGCCCTGCCCTTGAAAAGTGGGGATTATTAAAATTCAAGATGAGATTTGGATGAGGACACAGCCAAACCATATCAGGCAGTGCTCTAAAACCCTGTGAGCCCCTGCTGGGGCTTAGATCCCTCTGTAGATGCTGTTGTGTGTTTATGTGGCAGGTTCAAAAGAAGTCATGGTTTATTTTTAATGGTGTTTTAGGTTTATTAAAGACAGTGTCCTTTGGAGGGAGTCAGTGCTAATATCCTAGTAGTCATTAATATCCCTATGAGCTAGCTGAGAAAATTCAGGTAGCGAGAGCATAAACACCAATAATTCATGACTATACTGAGCTTGTGACAGCTTGTGTTAGCATTTGGATGGTTTTCATCCTTGGTTTGGTCCTTTGTAACTCTCTGGCTTTTTTCCAGTTCAGATCATTGCTGGGCACTGGCTGAAAGGTCCCAGAAATGTAACTGTCTTCTGTGCCTGAGATGATGTCTTGTTCAGGCTGCTATAACAAGCCGCCATAAACTGGGAGGCTTAGAGAACAGAAATTTGCTCTCACACTTCTGGAGGCTGGGGAGTCTAAGGTTCAGTTGACGGCCAGGTCATGTCCTGGTAAGGGCCCTCTTCCTGGTTCGAAGATGGCCATTTTCTTGCTGTGTCTTCACATGGCATAGAGCCTAGAGAAAGGAAGAAAGCCCTCTGGCATCTGTTCTTGTAAGAGCAGATGTTAGTTGGTTTATGAGGGCAGGGCCTTCATAATCCCATCATGAAGGCCCTGCCCTCATAAACCAACTAACTTCCAAAGGCCTCATCTCCAAATACCATCACATCGGGGATTTAGGATTTCAGCATATGAGCTGCAGGGGGACACAAATGTTTGGCCCACAGCAGATAATATAGTTGGAATAAGTATACATGCTGAAAGACTTCATTGCTGAAATGTGCTTCTCTTTGAAATTTCCAGGTGGTAGGGATTCTCGTAGGCTTGGGCATCATTGCCTTGGTGACTTCACCTTTGCTGCTCCTGGCCTCCCCATGTATAATCTGTTGTGTTTGCAAGTCCTGTCGGGGCAAGAAGAAAAAGCACGACCCATCCACAACCTAAAGATTTCCGTGTTCACACGCCCGAGATGTGTGAATTACATGAGCTGGCACAGTGATAAAGCCCCACTTAGTGACCTTGCCTCCTCCTCCTTCCCAACTTTGAAAGTGCCTCTGTTGACCTTGTCTCCCAGCCTTCAGCATCGGGAAAGGCCGAATCCTGGGTGTGCGTGTTCCTGTGTAATGAGAACTGGGCTTGACAGTCCAGCTGTGTCTATGGAGCATGTCGGGAGCTTTGGGCTTGCTTGGGATGAATGAACATATCATTTTATCATCCAAAGGATCTCACTGGACTGTTCAACATCCAACAAAATTCAAGGAGCCTGAGTGAACATTTGATGTAACCGGTGTGTTGTAGTTGGCAGCATGCAAGATAACCGAGAAGCCAGAGCCTGTTCTGTGTTGATTAGACTACCACGAGAAACACAGGAGAAACCTGAGAAGGAGGAGAAGGATAAGACTGTGTAAGGAGAAATCCTCGTAGGAGCCGTAAAGCAGGCTGCCAATCTCAGCAGTTGATATGGTGGTTGTGCCTCTGCTGGCTACTGGGTGTGCTGTCCCCAATGTTCCCGCTATGATTTGGCAGAAACACAATAGGTTTCTCCTGTGTGATCTCAGCTTCAAGAAGGAGAAACTGCTGTGCAGAGGGAGTTGTCCTTTTTCAGTAAAAGAGTTGCAGACTGTTAAACAATATGGTCTAATTTAGTGTCTCTCCCTTGGCAAATGTAAGTTTTCCGAGTTGGCCAGCTTGTCTCTTACAGCCGGTAGCTGTGGTCTACAAAATTGTTTCATACAAAATACGGGTAGAGTGATAGTTTCAAAACTTTTGTCATAGGTAACCGGGACCTTTCTAGGGGTCTGTGTTCACACATCCAATAGATTTGGAATCGGGTCTAAGAGTACACATGGATGGTAAATATTAAAGTGTATATCATGTACATCTAGAATCCATGTGACTTGCAGCCTACCTGTAATTTCTATCCATTGAGCATGCATGGATATACCCAATAGCACACACAAAATAAATGTTTACTTAAAAGCCATTCTATCCTTCTGTGCCTGAAATGTTTATTGCAAATCTGCCTAAAGATTTTTTGCATATTATATATGTGAATTTGGGTTGTAAGTTCATAACTTACCCAAGGGCATAGACTCCTAACTCTTTTAAAACAGTGCTTAGTACAATATCCTGCCATCTCTGTTTGTAAAAACACTAATGGATAAGTGAGTCATTTATGTTTTCAAACACAGAGCAGCTCTTTTCTCAGCATAATTTATTGCTCTTTCAGCATCTGTTAGGACAGTCTGAATACTTTCTATGTTATAAGGCACTGATAAAACAACAAAAACATGTAAGAAATAAAATAGAAACGCTTTATATATTTTAGTTTAAATTTATCACCTCATTGTTACTTTTTTTCCATTATACCATGAGTCAGATTTGAATAACGAGGTTTTGAAACAATAAAACCTTTTCTCCAATGACAGGATTATTTAACTGCTATTGGCAATGCAGCCTGGTGCTTTGTGAGACCTATGCTAAATGTTACTGGAGAGTTCTTGAAGCCAGGGATGCCATATCAGGAACTATTCAGGATCTATGGTATATTCTGAGGTAACTGGGTAATAGAATATCAAATTGCTGCTATCTCTGACCTATTATTAACGGATGATGCTTTGCCTATGTAATAGGATGTATCCTAAGTGGGGATGTATATATTTAAGGAACTTTAATTCACATGTATATATTGATATCTGATGTATGTGTAGTACATCTATTGGTCATGTACGTTTTAATTTACGTGTTATATAGAATATAGATGAGAACTCTGGGAAAACTTGGGAAGGGCAGCCAACCAAAATCATTTTTAATCATTTATTAGAAATTTCTCAATATTGTGTCTTTATTTTCTTTTGAAACTCTAAATACTTCAGAAAAAAAAAACTCTATTCTATCAGTGTAATTCATATTAGTATAATTATAGATTCACATATATTTGAATAGTTAATTTGCTTTGTTTTACACAGAGCCTACTGCCTCATTATAGGTAAAAGGCATTTGTAACTGCTCAGGGGATTACAGGAACTCAGCTGCAACTGAATTTTTGTAACAAGCATGTTAATAGTGGCAATATCCTCTGTTAGTAAACTCTTTAAGCTTGGTGCCACAAAGAGTCTTTAAACAGGGGCTGATTTTGAGTAACCTAAAATGCTTTGTTATCACAGGATGGAAGAAAATATGTATGCTATTTCCTTGGCAAATTGAAGGAATTTGCTGCCTTACAGAGATAGTATCACCGAATTAGCTGCTTACTTTTTGGCCAGGGCTAGGGAATGGGGGTTGTTTGTCAAACTGTTTTTCAAGAACTAGATTTAATTTTTTTTTTTTTTAATGTTGGGAAGTACCTGAAAAATGGTAAATTCTTTTGAAATGTGTGTGAGATTGTCAGAATCAACAAAACCAGGCTGGTTAAACATTTCTGGTGCCCTAGAGACTGTTTACAAAGGAGAGAGCTGGCAACGTGTTTTTTTCTTTTTTTGGACAAGGTCTCTCTTTGTCACCCAGGCTGGAGTGCAGTGGCGTGATCATGGTTCACTGCAACCTCTGCCTCCTGGGCTCAAGTGATCCTCCCACCTCAGCTTCCTGAGTAGCTGGGACTACAGGCACACACCACTACACCTGGCTAATTTATGTATTTTTTGTAGAGATGTGCTTTCTCTGTATTGCCCAGGCTTGTCTTAATCTCCTGGGGTCAAGTGATCCACCCACCTTGGCCTCCCAAAGTGTTGGGGTTGCAGGCATGTGTGTCACCATGCCTGAGAGCTGACAATTTTAACCAACAACTTTGGTAACAGAGGCTGATATTCTTGTTTTAGTTAATTGGCCAGCAACAGAGTTTACCCATGCCTCCTCTCTCAGTCTGCCAGCTTTGTTCTTTCCTAGTGATTCTCGTTCTGTATTAAGAGGAAGTATGAGGTCTCCATATGGTTGTTTGGATGCTAAGACAAGAATCTTTTTGTGTTTAGAGTATAGAAATAAAAAATCCATCACCAAACTGTAATCTGGATATAATAGCCCAGCATCCAGAAATCCTATGGGATGTTATTACCACAACATCTTGCCATTATCCCATCTAGGAAATTTTCTCTTGTTTTGAGGTAGGGAAGTGAGGAGAAAAGCCACGTGGAAGCAAATGTTAGAATCTTAGGCGTCCTATTTGTTCATGCCATGGGTATTTGCTTTGGACTTGGAGTCTGTACTTTGAAAGAGGCCTTTGAACAATAATTTAGTGTGAATTTTCTTGTAGCCTGCTTCATGAAAATATCACCCAGGTTTGCAAGTGTACATGTTTATTTGAATGTAAATCACTGTTATTTGGAACCCTATGTTTTTTGTTAAAAATTATTCTGAATCTAAATATGTGTTACTTTAGCCTTCCTTACACAATGCTTATAAAAGACTTTTCTTTCTGTTCATGAGTGGATGCCTGTATGTGATAGTTGTGTGTATTTGTGTAGCTTTAAGGACAATTTCAGAAATGCATTAGATGAATGACATTTTATAAAGCGATCACAATTGATTTCTACAGGCTATTATGTTTCATGTTGATTCATGATCCAGGAAGTTTTATGTATTTAAAAAATTGCTATTGTGTTCTATTTTTCCAATGTTGGGGGAAGAAAATAGCTGTTTTAGTGTTTCTAGCCACAATAAATGTGAGCAGGAAATCAAGTGTGTTAACCTTTGTTGCATTGCGCAATTCTAGGCATGTCCAATTTTGTCTTCTAAGAACCAACCAAATCACTGCTCTGAATTTACAAAAGGTACCAGAATTTGCAATACCATTTATGGAAATAACTGTTGCTACTTTACTTCTTAAAAGAAATGGGGCCAGGCACGGTGGCTCATGACGGTAATCCCAGCACTTTGGGAGGCCGAGGTGGGCAGATCATCTGAGGTTGGGAGTTCGAGACCAGCCTGATCAACATGGAGAAACCCCGTCTCTACTAAAAATACACAGTTAGCCAGGCATGGTGGCACACACTTGTAATCCCAGCTACTTGGGAGGCTGAGGCAGGAGAATCACTTGAACCTGGGAGGCAAAGGTTGCATTGAGCTGAGATCATGCCATTGCACTCCA